TCCCTCCAGCCCCTCTGACAAGCCTTCCCCTGTGCTGGCTGGAGCCCCAAAGGGCAGGCACATTTTCTAGAAGCAGAGGCACAGCAAGAATGTCAGCGCCATGTGTCTCGCTTACAACTGGGCCAGAGAGTACTTGAGTTGGGTTTTGTGGAACCACAGACTGGGGTGGGCATGGGGGGTGTCTTGTGGAGGCAGAGTGGGCCCCCAAGGAGGCTGACAGCAGACTGTGCAGAAGGGTCTAGCGTGGGGTGAGGGAGGCTTGCTCCTGTTTAATGAGAAGGCTCCCAGGCAGAGGTCACTGCAGCCGCCCCTCTCAGTGCCCCAGCTCTGGGGTGACTGCAGATGGCAGGGCTGGCAGGTGAAGCCTAGGGGAGAAAGGGGAGCAGAAGCCAGCCCTAAGCCTGGCCCCGGTTGCCACCATCACCCCCCCACCTCCCCACCCCCGCCGCCAATAACTGAGCAGGAGGCGGAGCTTGGAGCACCTTCCTGAGTCATCTCAGGCAGACCTCACCTCCACCAGAGAGGATTACTATTATTTCCACTTTTCAAGTAGGAAAACTGCAGCCTAGAGCACTGACGGGCCTGCTCACAGTCACACAGTCCGCAAGCGTGGAGCTGACACCAAGCCCATACACACACACACACACATACACACACATATTAAGACAGAGTTTCACTTTGTAGCCATCGGTAGAGGCTGTGGTGTCACAGCTCACAGCAACCTCAAACTCTTGGGCTCAAGAGATCCTCTTGCTTTAGCCTCCCAAGTAGCTGGGACTATGGGTGCCTACCACAACACCGGGCTGTTTTTAGAGAGGAGGCTTAGGCTGGTCTTGAACCCATGAGCTCAGGCGATCCACCTAACTCGGACTCCCAGAGTGCTGGGATTGCAGGCGTGAGCCACCACACCTGGCCAAGCCCATGTTGATTTACAAATGTTTGTCACCTGTAAGCCAGCCCAGTTTGGTGACACCCTGAGTGACTCTCCAGTCCCCTTGTGAGGGCACATGGTTCTGACCAAAGCTTCTCTGCTTCTCCCACAGTGGACGTGAAAAGCCTTGTAGGTGTGGAGAGGAAAACAGCTCTCTTGTTAGGCCTCCTGGCCCACCGGACAGCTCTGCTGCACCAAGTCTGCACTGGGAGTGGCAGGGCCACCGGGCACCAGACTCTCATGGTCACCCTGGGGATTTCAATCACACTCCTTGCCTCTGGTTAGAATTGGGGTTCGGCTCATCAAGCAGCAGATCATGAGACTTCTTTACAGAGCACACATTAAGTCATGTTTCATTAAAAAGAATTCCGTAGAGACCTCTGCGATTCCTCTTAGACTTGGATTGTACTAAAATCAACTCTTTCAAGGCTGCAGAAATTAAATGGAGCTGATATCCCCTCTTTGAAGAAAGGTCTCAGCAACTTTTTACCCTACAGGGCTCGTAATGTGGGAAGAAAAGGAAGGGCCTGCCGTGTCACAGGTCACCACTGCCAGCTCCACCATCACCTCCACTTGTCTCCACAGTCCCGACAGCAGACACCTTGGAGTTCAGCAAAGGGGGTTTCCTTCAAGTGGGTGGATGTTTGATATGACCCAGGGAGCGGCCGAGGAGCATAACTGCCCCCTCCACACACGCTGCTTCAGCCAGGAGGGAAGCACAGCTTTTTTTTTTTTTTTTTTTGAGACAGAATCTCACTTTATCACCTTTGGTAGAGTGCCATAGCATCACAGCTCACAGCAACCTCAAACTCCTGGGCTTAAGTCATTATTTTGCCTCAGCCTCCTGAGTAGCTGGGACTACAGGCCCCTGCCACAATGCCAGGCTTTTTTTTTTTTTTGTAGTTGTCATTGTTGTTTGGCAGGCCTGGGCCAGGTTCAAACCCGCCAGTCCTGGTGCATGTGGCTGGTGCCCTAGCCGCTGAGCTATAGGCGGCAAGCCTGAAGCATAGCTTTGTTAGACAGAATTCACCTTCCAAATGGAATTTCATAACCCTGTGGAGGCATTTTAAAGCTTGATATAAAACTATTTACTTCTCATTCTGTTATGCTGTATCCTTGGCATTTGGAACCTTTTAATACCTGGTGTTGATACCTAACTTTGTACTTGTTTATGTCCTATGCCAAGGTCAAGGGTCGCCAGTTAGGACCCAACCTCTCTCCTTAGCTCATCAAAGTCTGGATGTTTTGAGTGTATGTAGTTTTATCTTTCCCCAGCTCTTCTACCCTACTGATTTGTAAGCTTGTGAAGGTCAGAATTTTTGCAAGGCACATTCCTGTGTCACCACAGTTCCCCGTGTCTACCACATGGCAGACACTCAAGTCCACGGTTCCTGAATGAAAAAAGGGAACAAAATGATCCGTCTTCAAATGCCGTGGAAAGAAATTAACAGGTGCCAAGCCCTTACTCTGGGAATTGGGTACTGGGGACGGTTTCTCATTTCACTGTCATCCAGACAATCCTGGAAGTAGGAACCATGTCAAGGTACAAACGAGGAGGCCAAGGTACAACGTCTATCGTGGCCAAGCCGAGCAGGACAGCGTGACCCGCCATCCCACAGCACCTTTCAAAGCCTGAGAGAGGCCGTGAGAAGGACCGATGAGGCAGTCTCTGGCAGAAAGAGCTGACTGTTCACGCGTAACCACCAGGCAGCTCCAGCAGGGCCCACCAGCTGCGTGGACTGTCCCCGGCCAGCCCGACTCTGGCATTTCCCCACACCCTCCTCCTCTCCACATTTATTCCTTTTGTGATGCCATTTTCAACCTCATTTCTAACCTCAAATTCAAACACATACAGAAACCCTCCCTTCCTTAGTCCTGAAGCTGAAACCTGCCTCTGCACTTCTGTCCTCTTCAAAATTCTCCTTATTCTGCAATAATAAAAATGCTGTATTTCACCCCAGAACAGGCTGCATGCCAAAATAAACAGCACCTTGGATTTCCTTGAAAAGACAGCTTGCCTCAAAGCACAGCCTCACTGCCACGAGAATTCTTAGAGAATTCAACGTTACAAAGTCAAATATTTAGCAAAGTGGTTCACCAAACAGCAACCGTGCCAGTCCTTGCCCGATCACTTGCAGAGACAAAATGCTCTTTCCAAAACAGGAAAACAAAACAAAACAAAACACACCCATACCGGGGACCAGTCCTGTGAAGATGACGAGAGCTTCCTGCATCGGCATCCCAGGACCCAGGCTTCTGAGTGTCAATGTTCCCTGTGCTGAAGCAGGAGGCATCTGACAGCCACTTCTTAACACAGAGAGGGCTGCAGCCCGCACCAGGGAGGTGAAGTCTGCTCCTAGAAAGATTCTGCCAATGAGTTCCCTGGAGGCCTCACTTCCCACCAACTTGGGAAACAAAGAGATAACTCACGCTCCCCAAATGACACCTTAACAAAACCTCATTAACTCCATTCCCACTTTTTTTTTTTTGCAAGTATGTGTCATTTTTGACTGCACTGCAGCTGCTGAATCTGGAGCTGCAGGGAGAAGAGGGGACGGTGGGGAGGAAAGCTGAGCCCATTACCTGCCCTTGCATCTTCCCCTGCGCAGCCAGCAGCAGAGTGGGAGGACGGTCTCCTTCCCAGAAAGCCAGGTTTGGGCTGCAGGAGCCGAGCTGACTCCTCCTGCGCCGCGGTCACACAGCCCTGCTTCCCAGCGGCTAGAGGGCTTGGTCAGGTGATCCGTGACCTTGCTGAAAAGCAAATACTGACTTCCTTTTTGCTCCCGGGAACAGGTGAGTAGGGTCAGAGAGGAATGCACTGCTCAATCAGCTATTACTGGACTCTGCAGAAATAGGAAGAATGCTCAAATCCACCGCCTGGAAACTAAGTTCCCGGAGCTGCCATCCCTTCGGAGGGACACATCCAAAGACACCTGGACGACGCACAACCTTCCTCCTCGGCTTCTCTGAAGCTGGCAGCCCATCTGGGCAGGCGTGATTAATTAGGCGCTTCCTCTTCCCTGCCCACGGCTGATGAATTTGCTCCTAATGAGGACGCAGCCTCCTCAGGGTTGTAGCCCTTCAGAGGGCATGGCTGTCCTTCTGGCTCTGCTTTAGAAACCCCCCTCACCCGCCCCTCCTGGGGTCCCAGGACCACACGGAGCCTCTGATCATTAAATGAATGGAAGTCTGTTGGCAGAGCAGAGACAGGAACAATGACCAGTAATCCCAGGGCCAAGCTTCCTGCAGCTCTACCAGTCTGTTGCCCTTGAGCACCAAAACGAAACGTGAAACTCGCCGGGTTCTGGCAGGAAGAGAAAAGCAAGGAAGTACCTGCTGTGACGACCAAGTACTGTGCGGTGGGTCCAGCTCTGGGCAGGATTCTAACAGCAGCAGCAGCAGCAGAGAGGCTTCAGAGGGGCGGGGTGCAGGAGCCGGGGGAAGGGGAAGGCAGCCTGGAGGAGGAAGGACTCAGATTGTCCCGGGCAGGCACTGAGGAGTCTCTGTCCAGCCCAAAGCTGCCCCCATGCTCTGGAGCAGAGGCAGCTGTGGGGCGCCGACTCCAAACCTGGACCTGGACCTGAGAGTGATCCTGAGGGGAGAGGGTGGGCGGAGAGCACCTGAGCTCAGCTAGGGGGTTCCAGAGACCTCCTCCCCTGACCTCCAGGGCTCTCCCAAGTGGGGCTGTCCCAGCAAGTGCAGCCCATCAGTACAGCACGTCAGAAGTGGCTCTGACTGCACGGATGAGGACCGTTGGCGTGTGCTTGCCGAGGCAGGTCCTGTCTAACCCATGCTGAGATTGATGTTGGCACAGGGTGTCACCCTGAAACGCTGCCTGCAGCAAGCCCAGAACACTCGGAAAGCACCTCCCATCCCGTGAACCATAACATCCTCACACCAGCACTCATGGCAGCCAGACCAGGGATGAGGATCCCCACAGTACAGGACCTCATGGCA